TGGTTCCAGGTACATGCTAAGCAACTGTATTCTTGTGGCCGAAAGTAAGGATGTGTTTCTTCTGACATTGCAGACATCAGGCATTCAACTCTTCAAGGTCTGGTTCAGTAACCCTTCTCAGTAACTCCCTTCCCTTCTGCTCAGGCACTAAGCTTCAGCTACAAAGTGGTTTCCTTTAGGTGATTTGTGTGTGTGTGTGTCACACACCTTTATTAGAAATACATATTCATTCACTCCTTGGGAAAATAATCTCCTTTCCCACTGGCTTCGAGAGGCAGGTCCCTGTCTTGTTCAGCCCTTATCCCAGCACCCAGTGCCAGACTTGCACATGGCAGGTGTAGTGTCGTCATGGTTTAGATTTGTGGTCCAGCTCTGAGCAGAAGGGCTGGGACATGGGTGTCTCTGAATGAAACAAATAATGGAGTTAATGTATTTCTAGCACCAGTGAGGAGGGAGGGTGTGCCTGTAGCCCCAAGGAAGGTTTCAGTAATAAGTATCTTGTTTCCTCAACAATGTACATTTTTCACACTTTGTCAACTCTGAAGTTGTGATGCAGCTAAAATTAGCAGTGCAGTTTCAAGTGATTTCTTGGGTGTGCTGTGCATCTGAAATCAGTGAGCTGGGATCTTAGACTTTGCCTCAGTGTCTCAGTTTCTTTTGTCATCTACTCTACTTCACTGACCTACACCTGGCAGTTGTCAAGTAGATAGTAGTGTCTGTAAATGCTGCATGAGAGTTCCTTTCCCTTGGCTGTCCTGATAACTTTGATTTCAGTCTTGTTTACACCTTGGCAGGAAATGCTACTTTTACTGTACATTGTCTGAATTGGTGAGAAAATAGTTTCAATCTAGGGTGAAAAGGATATTTCACCTTCTCAGGTGGCAAGTATGTCCAGGGGTGTTGCATGTCCTGTATTTGAGCTAGTATCATTCTTGGTCATAGTCAGTAGTTAATCTTGCTACTTCCTAGTCTCATTTTTTACTGGAATCTGTAGTTAAAACTGAAACTTATAAATCTTATTTTTAGTGTCTTCAGGTTTAATTTTACAGTTCAGGTGTCTATGGACTTGGGCTTTATTTTAAGGTAAGGTCTTCACATGTCACATTCCTCTTGCCTCAGCCTTCTAGCTGGGATTAAGGGCATGTTCCACTGTACCTGGCTTTTAGGTAGGGCCAGGAATTGAACCTGGGCCTCCCATGTGATCTTAGTTTGTAGGACACAGCATTTTACCAGCATATGCTGCTGTAGCTGGGCTGGACGTGAGGGTGAATTTTTTTTTTTTTTTTTTTTTTAAATAGGGCACATGTACTTATGGAGAGACAGAAAGTGAGAAATCAGCCTGGTGGGGATGTCTAGGCAGCAGTCCCTTTTCGTCCTTTTTCCTCTTGGAATATTGGGCATGAGTTTTAAGCTGCTGAATTTGGGACTCAAACCACAGTCAACTATGTGGAAGTTCAGGGCCTTAACCACTGCACTACCTATGGCCCCACCCAGTGTGTTTTTCAAACTGTTGGGTCTGAGTGGGTCTGGCGCTGGAACTGTGTGGTCAGCCTTGTGGAATCCAGCTGTCTTAACCACCATGCCATGGGCTGGCCCTGAGCTCGGGGTTTTTGGGGACTTTTTGCATGCCCGAAACTCTGGGAGGAGACTAGAGGAAAAGGGGTTGTGATGTGCCCATCCGCCCTTGTGGAGTATTTTCTCACTTCCCTTTTCTGGCCAATAGTAATGTGTCTTGTAGGAAAAAGAGAGAGGGGAGGGAGGGAGGGGGGAGGGAGGGAAGGAGAGAAGAGCATATATTCTATACTTATTCTATGTTTTTTTTTTTAGGTTTTTGTCATAGGGTGTTATAGCTTGCCAGAGAGAGACGGAGGGGGAAAGTGAAACATCACCCCCCAGGAGATATGGCCATTCCATAGCCTCTTCTCCATTTCCCTCCTGGGATTTTAGGTGGGCATGTATGCAGTGCCCAGCGTGATTTTGAAGTTGCTAGGTCTGGGACTCAAACTGTGGTTGCCCATGTGGGAATCCGATGCCTGGATTTAAATAATGAATCTATGTTTGCCATCCTTCTTATCAGGACCTATAGGGACATAGGGGACCAACTCAGCTTTTATCAACCATAGAGAACTCAGGAGAGATGTTTCACTTAAACTGAGAACTGCTTTTTTGCAAGTTATAGTTTAATGTCTGGAATTAGAATGATGATCAGCGGTGTGAGATCTAGCTCCTATAACCACTAAGACATGGGCTGGCCCTCTGTAGACATTTTGAAGAGTTAAAAATTTTACTTCTATTGGCTGGATTTTAAAAAAAAAATACATGTTTGGTTCCAGCAGGTGATATGGAAGTTAAGGCACTGGGTTCCACATGGCTGACCGAGAGGTTCAAATCTCAGACCTGGCAACTTGAAAAACATGCTGGGCATATGTGCATTGCATATCCAAAACTCTGGGAGGAGACTGGAGAAGAAGGGATTGTGGCGTGGTCACCCTCCCTTGTGTGGTATTTTCTCACTTTCTCTCTGGCCAGCAATGTGCCTTGTAGCAAAAAAGAGAGAAAAGAACACATGTTCTACACCAGACTTATTTTCTTTGTATGTAACCTATTGTTATCTACTTAACAGTCTGGTCATCAATATTGACAGCCTTTTGTTCTTATACAGCTTTTTAAAATTTTGGGGTTGTGGGATGGGGTGGGCTTGTGGGAGGGAGAGAAGGGTTTCCTCAACAGGATCTGTTCGCATTGTTTTTTCCTTCCTGTTCTCCATCTTGTCAGGATCCTAGGTGTGTGTATGTGTGTTCCTAGCATGTATCTCAAGCCCTGAACTCTGGCCATCCATATAGGATCTTTTTTTTTAAGAGGTTTTTGCTATAGGGTGCGTGCGCTCGCCAGCCAGGCAGAGAGAGACAGAGAGACAGAAAGTGAGAAATCACCCCCCAGGGGGGATGGTCACGCCGCAATCCCTTCTCCGTTCTCCTCTCGGGATCTTGGGCACGCATGCACATGCGCCCTGCGTGAGTTTAAGCCACCGGGTCTGGGACTCGAACCGCGGTTGACTACGTGGGAGTCCAGCGACATAGCCATTACGCTAACTGCTGGTCCCCATATAGGATCTTGTTTCCTCTGTGCCATGCTTAATCTCTGCTATAGGGCCAGCCCAGCTTTTTGTTCGTCTTTTTGTGGATCTCGCTCTGTCTAGAATGTTCTGCCTCAACCTCTCAAGTACCTGGGATTATAGGTGTGTACCACTGAGCCTGGCGTTTTTTGGGGTAGCTTCATCATACTGAGAAAGTGTGTGAAGCAGTAAACTACTACTGCTGGATCTCATTTTACAACTTTGATGTCTGCATTTTGAGATCCCCTTTCTTTGTAGCATAAACTATAGCTTATAGAGGCTATACTTCATGCACATGTCCAGTTAGTTTAAACCCTCACATTTTTAGCACCTTTCCCTAAGCATATTAGGAAATGTATGTGGTTAGTTTCTTTATTTTTGTCTTGGTAGGTTACAAGAGAGCATCTGCAACTCTTGTAGCGTTTGTTCTCCACTCTCAGCACCCTTGTGTACAGGACATAGTGCTCAGACATACCTTTGTAAGGGTAGATTCCATTTTGATTGATTTCACCTGGCTTTAGTGTAACTTGATGCAGAATTTTTCTTTTATTGCCAGAGGGCATGTGCGCTAGCCAGAGAAAGAAATCAACCTCAATGTAGTCATACCACACTCCGTTTTCCTCCGTTTCTCCATCCCATCAGGATTTGGGGCACATATGAACATGTGTCACATAATTTTTTTCTTTTTTTAAGGTTTTTGCCATATGGCATGTGCACTCACCAGAGATAGACAGTGAGAAGGAAATGAGAAATCGCCCTCTGGAGGGATGACCATGCTATTGTTCCTTCTCCATTCTTCTCCTGGAATTTTGGGCACATATTGTGTGCAAATGTGCCCGGCTTGAGTTTCAGTCTGCCAGGTCCAGGACACTTACTGCATGTGGGAATCTAGCATCTTAATGAGTACGCAACCTTCCGGGTCTCCTAGCATGTTTTTCAAGGTGTTTGGACTGAGATTTATTTTTTTAAAAAAATTATTTAACTTTATTTATTTATTCATTTTAATTTGACCAGAGAGACAGAGAAGAGAGAAGGCCATCAGGTTTGGGACTTGAACCATGGTTAGCCATGTGGGAGTCCAGCGCCCTTAACCACCACACCACCTGCTAGGCCCCTGGGCTGAGATTTGAACTGAGGTCAGCCACATGGGATTAGATTCCCTGTACACAGTGCTTAACCACTGCACAACAAGGCTGGCCTGCTACAGATTTAAAATTTTTAAAGAGACCAGCAGGTGGTGTGGTGATTAAGGCACTGGACACTCCCACAGGCCGACCAGGGTTCAAGTCCTGAATCTGGTGGCTTGCTTTCTCACTTCCTCTCTCTCTTCTTCCCTCTTCTCTCCCCCACTCCCAACCTCTGTCTCTCTCTTGGCAAATTAAAAAAAAAAAAAAAGAATAAATAAAAATAAAATAATTAATAAAAAAAATTTTTTTTTTTTTAATTTTTAAAGGTTTTTGCCATAGAGTGTGCCAGCTAGTGTATGGTGGCTAAGGTATCGGATTCCTATATGGTCAACTGCAGTTTGAATCTTGGACCCAGTGACCTGAAACCCATGCTGTGCACGGGTGCATGCATGCCCAAAATATTGAGAAGAGAATGGAGGACAAAAGATTGTAGTGTGGCCGTCCCCTGCAGGGTGATTTCTCACTTTCCCCTGTCTTCCTTCGGTGGTGCAAATGCTCTATGGCAAAAACCTAAGAGGGGAGAGTAACAGTAGGGTAAAATTCTGTAAAAACATGCTCTCTAATAACCAACAGATAAAATTATTTAGTGTATCAACAAAGTTACTCAGTTCACTTCCCATCTTGTGTCCCTGATTTTTGGAATTTTTTTATTTTATTTAATCCAACTATGATTCTTTCTCTCCTTTTGTATCTTTCAGCAAACGAGGATTCAGTGTCCGATCCTTTGGAACTGGGACTCATGTGAAGCTTCCAGGACCAGCACCCGACAAGCCAAATGTTTATGATTTCAAAACCACATATGATCAGATGTACAATGACCTTCTTAGGAAAGACAAAGAACTGTATCCCAGTTGGTTGCCCTTTAAAAAGCCCCAGTGTGGCCATCCCTGGCGGGTATAATCTGTGATGCTGCATCTATCTGACCTCCACTCTATAGGGAGGCAGTCAGTCTGTGAGGCTGGTGCTCAGGAGGTGTGGTATGCCAAGTCATGGTGCATGTGGTGCAAACACTCACTCCTTTTTATGTAAGCGTACTCAGTTTCTTTTCCTAGTGTTCATTGGACAGTCCAAGGGTTAGATTCTATGGCACTGAACATCTTTAGTCATGCAGACATGAAAGGGAAATCCATGTTGACATAGTCAGGCAAAAGGTTCTGACATTAATCCAAGAAGTATAGGTGAGCAAACCATAAACCACTAAGTTTCATTGCTTTTCACATTTCAGGGCTGCCCAGTTATTTCCTTTCAGGTAGGTGTATATGTGCTCTGATATAGTTGTAGCTGGGCTGCTTTATACACTTCTGTTTTTTAATTATCAGAATTCACGTGCACTCACCAGAGGGAGGGAAAAAGAGAAAACACCTTCCAATAGGGAGTGGCCATTTTTCTCCACTTCTCCACTTGGTCAACATTTTGGGCATGGCAACACATGCCCATCATGTTCCTCAAACCACCAGGATTTGATCTGTGTGGTCAGCCATGTGGGATCCAGCTCCCTTAATCACTAGGCTATTGGAATGGATCCTCATTACTGGTTTTTAGAGGTAAGATGAAGAGGGCCAAGTTTGCTGTCAAACAAAGCATGTTAGAAGCAACAGGTAATTGAGAGAACGTCCCTTCAAGAGGAGACCGAATCTGCGACTTAAGACTCGTGTAGAAAGGGAAGAAGACTATTTTTATTTTAAAGAGACAGAGACAGAGTGACAGTGTGAGAAATCATCTCCCAGGGGTGTTGGCCATGCCGCAATCCCTTCTCCATTCTCTTCTCAGGATTTTGGGCACACATGGACATGCACCTGGTGTGAGTTTTAAGCTACCTTGTCTGGGACTCGAACCACAGTCGACCATGTGGGAGTCTAGCCTTGTAATCATTACACCATTGTTGGTCCTAGAAAGAAGACTTTAAAATAGACTTTTATAGATGTGACACCAAGTTGTGTGATGGTTATGGTAATCAGTGCCCCAGGTTTTTGACTAGGGCATCTCATGATCCATCCTATGCTGGTTAAAATTTCTGGACCTTTTCTTCATTGTGCTTTGTAGTTCTCAGAATAGAATACAAATATATTCCAAGTGGAAGGAATATAAACATTAAATGGAAAACTATTTGCCTTATAATTTTTAATAGGCTAAAAATAACAGATTTATCAGGTGGCTGGGTTGGACTTCAAAGGTCATTCTAGCAAAATGTAAAACTGGATCTAGTTACTGTGCCTTTTACCCTTCCTACTCTCTTCTCCACCAGCTACAATTAAAACGTCGTCAGTGAGCTCATTGGGACTACGTGCAATTCCCATCAGTGCTATAGCCCTGCCTATGGCAGCTGTGGTGCAAATTGGGAGTATGTGTGTTGCTGTGGCACACATAATGCCTATAGCGCAGTGTTCTTGGGAGCCCTCCAGCCATGAGTTAATGCAAGTCCCTCAGGGATCTTTAAAGAACATATTCTGCCTCTCAGAATTCACAGAACTTGCCTTTGGAAAAGTCTCCGTAAGGGTTTCTGATGAGCTCTCAGCTGTGCAATGTCTGTCTCGATGTTGGGCTTAAGTCACTTGTGTTTTGTTCACACCCTTGGGCTCCTCTCTCTAAAATTCTCATTCGTGAGAGCTGCCTGTTCTCTATTTTCTTATTTTTGTACCTAACACTTGGAAATGTAACCATGAAGTCCTCTTTCTGAGCCCTGGGTAAAGGTATAGCCTCAACTCTTAGATTTAATTCTTTGGGTTAAACCACTGCTATGCCATTAGGCTTATCCTGAGATACCGCATGTAATTTGAAACATTCTTGGGTCAGTTGGTTTTTTATCAGTTAAGGTAGCTGCATCCCACATGACCAACTTCAGCGTTTGAGTTCTGGACATGGAGGCTTTGGAAATATGCTGGGGGGGTGCAGCAGATGGACTACTGGTTGGATCCCTGGGCTCCCACATAGTCTACTGAAGTTTGAGTAATGGACCCAGTGGCTTGCAGATCACACCAGGCATGTGCGTTTGCGTGCATGTGCACACACCCAATATCCCAGGAGGAAAATGGAAGAGAAAGGATTGTAGTGTGACCATTCCCCCTACAAGATGATTTCTCACTTTCTCTTTCACTGACTCTGCCCACGCCCTCTCTACTGAAGAGCACACACACCCTAAGGCAAAAACCTTTAAAAAAAACAAAAAAAGTTAAATAAATAAACATGCTGGGCACATATGTGCCTGCCTAAAATCCCAAGGGGAGAATGGACAAGACTGGTGTGGCCATCTGTCCTAGGGGTGATTTTCTCACTTTTTCTCTCCTTCCCTCCGTCCGTCCCACCAGTGAACACACATGCACCCTATAACAAAAACTAAAAAAGTATTCTTCAGGGACCACCAGTTGGCACAATGGCTATGTTGCTGGACTCCCATGGAGTCAACTGCGGTTTGAGTCCCAGACCTATTGGCTTAAACTCTCACTGGGCACGTGTGTGTGCCTGCCCAAGATCCTGAGAGGAGAATGGATGAGAAAGGATTGCGGTATGGCCATCCCCCCGGGGGGTGATTTCTCCCTTTCTGTCTCTCTGTCTCTGGTCAGCGCACGCCCTATACCAAAAAACTCTTTAAAAAAAAGTAATCTTCATTTAGCACCATGCTTTTATTTTATTTTATTTTATTTTTACTATTTATTTAATTCCATTTGTTGTAATTACTATTTTTTTTAATTCAACCAGATAGAGAGAGAGGAAAGTGAGAAAACAAGCCACCAGGAATGGGAATGGAACCGTGATTGGCCATGTGGGAATCCAGCACCTCCAATCACACCACCTGCTGGGCCCAGTACCATGCATTTTTTAAAAAAACTTGTACTGAACTAAAGAAGCAAGTAGGTAGTAGTGCATATGCTCAAGCTCTTCAAAATGTTTTCTAATTGTTTAATTTTTAAAGATGTATTATTTTTTAATTTACTGTAGGACATGTGTGCTCAATAGAGAGTGAGAAAGCAAGATGCCAGGTTTGGGGCTCAAACCACACTTGGCCATGTGAGAGTCCAGCACCTTAACCACCACGCTACCTTCTGGCCTCAGTTGAGCTCTTTTATATCAGAGCTTTGATCTTTCTGTGCAAGAGGTCCCAGGTTCAAGTACGAGATGAACTTGCATATTATTGTGAGAAATGTATTCACCTGTCTATTGTCAAAGAATAGACACAGAGAGACAAGCTTTGGGGAAGCGAGATGGTATTGTCCCCTTCCCTCTTGTGTGATGGAAAGGTGCAGGTTCAAGACAAACCTGCGAAAAAGGCCCTCCAAATGTCCTGAGGAGGGAGAAGAACCAGGAAGTAAGGAGCAAAAGGGCTAGTGACCAGCTACCATTGTGTTCTCAAGGGCAATCTGTTGTTTTGGGGTTTCTTTTGTTTAGGAACTTTCCGGGAATGTGTATTTTCTGGGGTTGTTACATCTGCAGACTTTAACTTTTCTTAAGCTGTGCTTAAAAATGAATCCCTTAAAACTATTTTTTACTCTTGTTTCTGGACATGGACAGTACTTAACTGTGTTTTACAGATACTGAGTCTAGCATCTGCAGTCAAATGTGGAGGGACATGGGGTAGTGGAGATGATGAGCATGTCCTAGGTTTTTTTTTTTTTTTTTAATTTGTCAGAGGGTGCTTGTGTTCACCAGAGAGAGTGAGGACTGTGGTGTAACCATGCACTCCAGTGGGGCATGGTCACACCAGAGCCCCTTATTTGTTTCTCCCTTCTTTCAGGATTTTGTGTATGCACAAGCATATTTTTCAAACTGCCAGCTCCAGGAATTGAACTGCATAGTCAATCATGTGGGATTTCATTCCTATAACCACTAGGCTATGGGACCAACTCTCCTAGGTAGTTCTAAAAGGAACTGACAGTAACATTTAAGAATTTGGAATCCCCATTTTTTTAAAAAAATAGATTTTGCAGAGGCCACTGGTCACTCCTTGAAGTGTCCATTATATGCAGAAGAAAATTATGTATGTAAGTGTGAGGTCTTGCTGCATTGTGGGTGAGGGCATGGGCAGCTGAGGGGGTGCTTGTGGCCCCTTTGGTGATTAGTGACAAGTCATTGCTAATATTTACCGCTAGAGGACCCTGCATAGGAAAGTCATCTCTTGTCCCTTAATGAAGCTCTGGGAAGACGGACACCCTTGTCCACTCATTTATTTGGGTGAGAGAAATGGGGCAAAATGACATGTTTGGTGCTTAGCCGATTTTTCCTTAACATTGCCCGTGGTCAGGAGGAAAGGATTATTTCCAGGGTTTTCTCTGTGGGCATTTTCACAGTGACCAGCAGGGCAATGGGGACACCTGTCTCTGATGCATGAAAGAAATAGCAGAGGTGTGGGGTTGAGTTGTATTGGCACCTGTCCCCAGGACTCTAGGACAGCCTCTGGGAGGGGATGGTCGGGCTCTCAGCCTGGGAGATTACCTGCAGATATTACTTACTTAGAGGTGTGCACAGGAGTGAGGCTGCCTGATACATGTAGATAAGAGCTAAACACAGGTGTGTAACAGTTGCCTTTGCAGAAGTATTGGTTACTATATAGTGGAAAGTTAAAAAGAGGGTCTGGACAGTGGCACAGGAGCCATACATCATGCTCTGTAATGTTGACTCATGATAAGGTTCCAGGTTTGCATCCAGAAACAACTTTTATGCCGAGCACATACCTGCCCATGATCTGGGGCTGGCTTGGGCAAGGGGTAGATCACAATATTGAGACCTTAGAGGGGTACTGTCACTTTCTTGCTCAAAAGCTAGAAAGATATTTTAAGATTTAACCCAAAGGTAAAACTGGAACAGAGGAGCTTACTCCTTCAGGTCTGCTTCTGGGATAGAAGCATGA